GAGTGCCTGCTGGCCGGAGACCCCGGGGCTGCCGAGCCCGGGCAGGCTGCCCGGCAGCGTGCGGGAGCGGGAACGGGAGGCCGGGCGGCGGAGGGATGCTGCGTGTGCGGTGCAGCGCCGTGAACGCCGCCACCGCGGAGGTCCGGCAGAGGCCGGAGCCTCGCGAGCCCGGCCGGTGTGAGCGTCCCGGGGCCGAGGCGGAGGCGGCGCAGGCCGAGGGGCGTCTGCGATTGTTCTCAACACCCCTCCCCCACCCCGCCCCGTGTGTCTGTTTGTCACTTGCAGCTGAAGATGGAAGGAGCCAGGCGAAGGGGAGGCGGCGGCGGCCGCGGCCGCGGAGGCAAGAATGTAGGGGGTTCTGGCCTAAGCAAGAGTAGACTCTATCCCCAGGCCCAGCACTCCCACTACCCCCACTACGCCGCTTCAGCCACCCCTAATCAGGCTGGGGGCGCAACCGAAATCCAAGAACTGGCTTCCAAACGAGTGGACATCCAGAAAAAGAGGTTTTACCTAGACGTGAAGCAAAGCTCGCGGGGACGGTTCCTAAAGATAGCTGAAGTCTGGATAGGGAGAGGCCGGCAAGACAATATCAGAAAGAGTAAACTGACCCTCTCCCTGTCTGTGGCCGCAGAGCTGAAAGACTGTCTAGGCGACTTCATCGAGCACTACGCCCACCTGGGCCTGAAAGGCCACAGGCAAGAGCATGGCCACAGCAAAGAGCAAGCCTCCAGGAGAAGGCAGAAGCACTCGGCACCCTCCCCACCAGTCTCAGTGGGATCCGAAGAGCATCCTCACAGTGTACTCAAAACAGACTACATAGAGAGGGACAATAGGAAATATTACCTAGACCTAAAGGAAAATCAACGGGGTCGCTTCCTAAGGATTAGACAAACCATGATGCGGGGGACTGGAATGATAGGTTATTTTGGCCACACTTTGGGCCAAGAACAGACTATTGTCCTCCCTGCACAAGGAATGATTGAGTTTCGTGATGCCTTGGTTCAGCTGATTGAAGACTATGGTGAAGGAGACATAGAAGAACGAAGAGGTGGAGACGATGACCCACTTGAACTCCCGGAGGGGACTTCTTTCAGAGTGGACAATAAAAGGTTCTACTTTGATGTGGGCTCTAATAAATATGGAATATTCCTGAAGGTAAGTGAGGTGAGGCCGCCTTACCGTAATACTATTACTGTTCCATTCAAAGCTTGGACAAGGTTTGGGGAGAATTTTATCAAGTATGAAGAAGAGATGAGGAAAATTTGCAACAGCCATAAAGAAAAGAGAATGGATGGCAGAAGGGCCAGTGGTGAAGAACAAGAATGCCTCGACTAAAGTGAAATTGAACTCCATCAGGCAAAATTTAAAATCATAAATTGGCTAAAAGTACTGATCCATAATCATTTGAAGAAGTTTTTTCTCTCTTTTTTTTTTTTTTTGGCCCTTTGTTATTAGTAATACCTCTAGTAGTTTATACTTCAAGAAGTCTGATCCTCATGTTCTGTTATACATAGATCACTATAATTCTTATGGGAATTCCAGCCTTCCCAGTTTAGCTGTTTCAACTGCTCCAGACTATTGAAGTATGCAAATCAGCACAAAATATGACATTTTGACCTTCTAAATACTATAACTAAGATTTACATTTCACTGTGATATAATCCTGAAAAAGAGATACACACTTAATGTGGGAGTATAAATTTCTATTAACAAATTCCCAAAAAAATTATTTCATTCCTACTTTATGAAAAGCTGCTAAGCATACCTGTAGGACAGTTACCACAGAAACAGAAATTGACCACAAGTATAATATAAATACTATAAAACTACATAGAAATACGTTGTCCATTGCATAACTGAATATTAAATGGTAGGGGTCAAAAAGATGAAATCTCATTAGATAATTAAATTTTAAAGATACATGATCATAATATTTCTTAATATAGTGTTCTATAAGTTCATATGTTGTGGTAACTCTACAGTTTATAGTTGCCGTATCAAAGCCATGAGACAGTTTTAATTGGTTATTCTAAGCTACTTACAATCCCATTTTCACATCAGTTTATTGTACCATATATTTTTGTTGACTTTTGAAAGTTTTAGGAATTACTTTTTTGTAACTTCTGAGTGAGAGGCTTCACCCAGTGGCTTTGCTATGGAAATCTTTGTGTTTTAGCATTTCATGCTAATTTGAAGATTGTGATAGACTTTTCCCTAAGATATAAAATGGACTCAAGGTGTTATATTTTGTTTCTTCTTTAACACAGTTTCAGAGGGGTTGGTGCACCAATTAACTGATATAAAAATATATGTGTAATATATTTTAGTAGCACTTTTGCAATTGGTACCCGTAAAACGATGTCAGACTTCCAATATAAACCTGACGTTTACAGGTATTTTAATTCCAGAATGAAAACAAAATTCCTAAAAGCATTTAGAGTACAAATTTTCAATCTGGGAAAAATATTTGAAGATAGTATTGATTGCAAGCATATTCAAAAGAAAATTTCAGGAATTTTCCAAGGTGCTCTTTATGATACTTAAAGAGGTTTACTTTGCACAAGAGTTATCCGTTTACCTGTATTAAAAAATTACTTTCCAGAAAGTGCCACATCAACTTTTCAACACCTAAGCAATTTTTTAAACAAGTGGATATAGTGTATATGTGTACCAACCCACACTGTATTAACTGACTGAACTTTCATTTGTTAAGCTATCTTTTATTCTGAATGAAATGATTGTCTTATCTTGGCTTTATTCACCTCTCATACATTAAGAACATATAATCATGTTTAAGAGCCAGAACACTGATTTCAACCCCCAAATATATAGCTCATTGAGGAGAGCTGGCTGCCTGGATTGGGATCAGAATGTAGCTCTTCTTTGATATAAGTAGTTATTTTAATATTATTTAAATTTTTCCTGCAGAAATTTGCCCCCAGGTAATGTCCCTAAGAAAACTTTGTTATGAAATAAGAAAGTTAATTTCATTGATTTATGTTGCTTAAGAACAGGTGATCAGTAACACAGACATATATACTGGTGTTGGTTTACAGATTATATTTCACGTTTCCTCAAGTAGTATGAAGGAATCTCAGTTCATTATAATGTGGACCATCTGGATCACTATGGAACAACTGAAGGTTAGAAGATAATATTAGTACTAGAGTTAATAGCACATGGTGGGTGTTCAGACTATAAAAGTAGCAAAGATTTTTTAACAGTTCTAACTGTGAAATAACATAACAATGTAGGTTTGCTAAAAAGTAGTTTTTGGTATATGAAGGAGTGATGTGCACTTGAATTACTGTACTACTGATTGTTGTTGCTGCCCATCATAGTGCCTATTAATAATCAACCTGTCAGATTTTGGCAAACTGGAGCTGTGAATATTCCAGTGTTCAATTGTTCCTATCACTATTGCTATGAGTGTACACTCTCTCTTAAAACCTTCCTTTTTAAAATATTTATATCCATTAGTACTATATGATTTCTTTTTTGGTTTTTAGTCTGATAAGATTTGTGTGTGTGTGTGTGTGTATATATATATATATATACCTAACTACACACATGAACACACACACACACACATATATACACACACACACACACACAAATACTATATCAGACTTAAAGATAACTATCTTCAATTCATTGTATATAATATTACTAGTTTAATTTTGCATTATTTAAATAAAGAATTAGTTATGCAGCCAAAATTTTTACCTTGTACCTATACTTCAAAGTTTTTACTATCTCAAAGCTACAGATTGGATAGATGCATATATATCAGAAAATGAGTATACTCTAAAATTAAGGCTTCTACCAATCCTTTTGTTTTACCTTTTCATAGTTAATGCATTCACTGAAAAATATGATACTATGATTTTTGATACTTAAAATTTCCTAGAATTCATTAGCCATAAATAAGTATGATCCAGTTTGAAGCTCTGGTATTAAGACATGTATTGCCATGTATCTTATGAAATAAGCTACTATTCTTATCTGTGCAATATACATTTTGTTTATCATCACTTGTAACATAAATGAAGCTGCAAGTATACATGGTATTCTTCAAAATATCAGGACCCTTGCCTGGAAGACAGTAATCTCTTAAGGCAACTGGATGTTAGAAGTAAAAAATGAGCATTGAAGTTAGTAACCAAAATTAAGAGTTCACTGTATAATGCTAAAACTGATGATGTTTGCACATAAGAATCCAAGCATAATGTGGTACAGACTCCAACTGTAATAATATAAGCTAATAGTATGAAATTTGGAAACGGGTTCCTTGTAATAGTTGGCAGTATGCTCCTAGCAATTAAAAGCAGCACTAATCTGTTGCTTATATGCAAAAGATGCAATGTATTATAAAGGTATGAAAGTTCTGCCACATTTTATAATTTTCCTTTTTAAAGCCCCAAACTGCCATGTCCCTTAAACTTGAGTCAAACACAAGCTTATTTGCACTAAAGAGCATGGCCAAAAAATAAAATGACAGGGTGGAAAAGCTAGTTGGAACCTCTTGGAATAATTGGTTCTAATGAGAGAATTTCACATTTGTCTATTTGAAAGCTATATGGTCCAGGCAGACAATCTGTCAGTTCACTAATTTAATAATGCACTTTACCTTTTGTATATAGAAGCTGTACATTTATGTCCCTTACAAGTGGGATGTGTTTCAATAACTATGTAGTTAGAATCTGTAGGGTGATCTCTTGCATGCATATGTTTGTGTTGGAACTGTTGTGGGTAACAGCTTTCCATTAAATCAGTGTAATGGAGAGGGTAGAAGATGCATTTGAAACAAATCCCAATGCATTTAACAATGAATTTTAGAGTTCATATTTGTATTCTTAAGGATTAGAATAAATTTTGAAAACTATTTCTAATCCAGATGAGTATTGCATTTGAGACTATATCTTCTTGAAACTCTTCATAAGACTCTGAAAGTTAATTTTGGCAATTTGTCCAGATAAAATAATTTTAATGATTCTATTTCATTGTTGACGTATGTTTAAATAACAAAAACGATAGTACATGATACTGTACTAGAATTAAAAGCATGATTAGCTGATATTTTTTGAAATACCCAGATTGAAATAAAATTTCAAGTTAAGGAAACGCAACGAGCCTACTAAGTTACTAAAATAAATAAATAAAATATTTCAAAATTTGCATAATTATCAACTTAAAAGGGCGTTGGGGGATTTAGTGTATCCTTCCATCCTAAAAAATTCCTGAGATGTACATTTTAAAATTACATAATTGTTATTTAATAATAGGTTGTATGTACTTTACTGAGAAACACTGTGTACTAATAATTCATTGAGAGTGTGCTATATTTACTGCATTCATTTTATATCTATAGATAAGAATACATTATATATAGTCATACAATCTTAATACAATCATGTATTTATATTGTAATTTTGCAAATATTTTCAGTAAAATAAACATTTATCTAAGCTGCACAATTTGAAGAGGATAAATTTAGAATACACCCTCAGATACTCATTTTTATAAGCAGCTACTATTGAAAGCTGATGTACGTATTGTCATTTCTTTAGATTTTCTTTTCGTTATTTTAATATTTAATGAATAAGACGCAATTTGAAATTTTAAGTGGTTGTCTGAAAATAATTTATTCATGTGTGAGATTTTTTTCCTGGTTATTTCCAAATGTCTTTAATTAAAACTAGTTATGAAATCCTATTCCAAGCTTTTTGTAAAGGCTTTGCTTAGTCACCACTTAGTTTGAAATCTGTCCTTACCACCAGAATACTAAACATCTTCAGCAGGATGTTTTAACATTGATTCTAAAAAGAAGTTAACATTGATTTTAACGCTATAGGATACTGCAGGAGTAATACTTATCATTGCCAAGTATGAACCTTAAAATCTTTCTGAAGTTTCCTTAAAGATTTCTTGACTTTCATAGAGATATGGTGACTAATGATTAGCCCATCAGAGGAAGAGAATAAAGTTGTCAGCATGCTGTTTAGACAATCCACAGTTCACAATACTGTAGTAATGGAGTACAGGAAAAATGTGTTTCCCAATTTAATGTTATACAAAAATTGGAATTTTAGATCATAGCAACTCTGTCATAGAATTATGCCCAAATTTATATAGATAGATCTTAGAAAAATAAT